CCAGGCGCCGCACGGTCTCCCCCACAGCCACCGGTCGAAGGCCGCCGTCCTTCTTGGGTAGGGCCACCAGCGAGGCGCCAGCCAGGTAGTCCGCCACGCCGGGGGGGGCTTGACCCTTCGCGAGGAGGTTGGTGAGGCCGAGCAGCTGCTGCAGCACCTCGTCGCGGTGGGCCGCCGTCTGCAGCGCGTCCTTGAGGTGTTGCGGCCGCAAGCCGGAGGGGCCCGGAGCGGAGCCCCGAGGGAAGGCCCGCACCTCGCGCTCGAGCGAGGCGGTGTCTAGCTGCGGCACCGCCGCCGCGTTGACCGCGGGGAGGCTGGCGGCGTCCACGGGTCGCTGGCTGCTTGGGTGCTTCTGACGCATCTGCCCCAGCACAGCTGTGGTGACCTCCGCCGGGGGCTCGCTGGTGAGCGCCGAGCAGCCCTTGGAGTACTGCGCGTCCGCCGAGAGTTCCAGGCAGCGCTGCGCTCTCTGAGCCGCTCGGGAGGGTTTTGCAGTGGCTCGCCTGTCCGCGGTCTCCGCCCAGAGCGAAGCGCGCTCTCCCTCCAGCCAGCGCTGGCAGAGGTTCTTGGTCAGAGCTTCCGCCGCGCTCCTGCTGCCGCGGCCCCCGCGCGTGTGCGGGCGGAGGACACACTTGGGCAGCATGACAAACTGGAGCCACGCCTCCTCCGCATTTCGGCGCACGGCGAGCGCCGCCGCCTGCGCCAGGCAGCGGGCCCACAGGACCCGCGCCCCCTTGGGCACGCGGTGCTTTGTGCTGGCTCGTCGGGAAAAGACCTCTTGCCAGGTAGGCAAGCCGCGCGGCCGGGGGGCGCCGTCGTCAGCCGCTGGCGCGGCCTCGGCAGCAGCAGCTCGCGCAGCGGGGCGGCACCGCGGACACACGCGCCCGTAGCGCGAGTGGAGGTACCGCTGGCAAACCGAGCATTGTGACAAGCTGTGTTCGTCCAAATATGCTTGTGGTACCGGCGGCAGGCCCGGAAATCTGCCGGCCGCATGCTCATTAAGATGCGGGCGCATGGCCCCGTGGTCTGCCCAACCAGCGCTGGAGGCAAGGTCCGCGCGGGGGCAGCCCGGGACAGGACAGCCGACCCGCGCGCGCCGGGCACGCCGTTGTGGAGGGGCCGCGGCGTCGTCTGCAGGGGCGGGCGGCGGCGGAACCTGCGAGTCTGGAGCTGCGGCCGCTGGCGGGGCAGCCAGGGGCTGATCGGCGGGAGCCGCGGCGGCGGCAGGCAGACCGTGCACCGCCGGTGGAGCAGCCGCGGGCGGCGGGACAGGGGCAACGGCGGCCGCGGCCGGCGGCGGGGTCGCAGCAGCGGAGCTCGCGGCGGCCGCGCGGCGGATCTCTGGCAGGGGGACGCCGGCATCGACATTCATGTCCCGCTCGGGGTCGATGTTCAGTTCTCCCATCCTCAAGCCAAGGCGGGGGACTGGGTCAGGATCATCCCCCTCGGTGCGGTTCCGCCGAAGTCGGCGCCCGGGCGACTCCCCAACGGGTGCAATCTCGAGAAAAGTGTTGCGGACGCCAACCTCGTGACGAGCGGGCTGAGATGCCTCCGCCGTTGGCCTGGATGAAGGGAAGCCCGCTGATGCTGCTGGCTGCTGCGGCGCCGCCTCCGGTGGAGGGGAACGGCTGCGGGCCCTGCTGTCCAGAGCGCCACCCGAAGGAGGCCGTGGCCGATGATCTCCTCCCTCTCCCCCCCCTCCACGGCGGCAGATGCAGCGCGTGCGTTCGACGAGACACATGCGGCACACGTCCGAGTCAGAGCCCGCGGGGAATGCGGGCGACAGCACGGAACGGATAAGCAGAGCGGCGTGCCCTGCCCACGCCATTGGCGACGAAAAGCATGTGGAGTGCCACCCCGGGCTCAGCGCAATGGTGGCCATGACCGTGATGGACGTGCAGATCGGCTGCAAGAAATGAACATCTCCGACTAAAGCGGCACCACAAACTCCAGAAAGGGCACGCTGAAGAGGACCTCCGTGCAGAGCCGCCCCAAACACGAGGAATTTCAAGGGCGCCGAAGTCGCGCAGGAGGCCGCCATCATCAAGACCGGGTGGATCGCGCTGGGGATCGCCTGCCCCAGAACGGCGTGAACGTACTCGGCCAAGCATGCGCTGGCTAACGCTGGGGGGGCCCAGCTCATAGCGTCGATGAGCAGGCCTGGCAGGGGGCGCACGCAAAAGTACGCAGCGTCCAGCGTGGTCGACATCGCCGGCCACACCATGCGGAGGATCCTGTTGATCGGGGCCGCGACCGCTGCTGGCGCCTGCGGCCACCTGGCCTGGGGCATGCCGTCGCCAAGGGGGCTAGACGCTGCGCTGGTAGCTCCGGAGGCGCTCGCGGCGCAGCTGCGGAGGTGGGAGTGGAAGTACAACTCCGCCGGCGAGGTGCGCGCCGCCGCCGGGCCAGGCGCAGAAGCCACAGCGCGCACGCCGAGGCGAGGGATGGCGGGCGCGAACAGGTTGAAGCCGCTCGAGGCGTCGGTCATGGTGGACGGGGCCGGAGCACAGTCCTTGGGCAGGGAACCTCCGGATACATCACAACAGGGGGAGGGGAAGGTGGTGCAGAGGAGGGGCAGGGGAGAGGCAATGGACAAAATGTTGGGGCAGGTCTGAACCCGGGTCCCGTGCCCCCCTGGGGAGGCCGGTGGCTGGGCGAGACGGCGGGGGTCCCCCCAGCGGCAAAGCCCTCGCGGGGCCTCTCGACGGTCAGTTTGGGGGGTGCCCGACGCATCAGTGCTGCCGACACGGTCCCCGGGCAGGTCGAACTGGAGCCAGGAGCCCTCCGCGTGCAGCAGCGGCACGGCGCGAAGCGCCAGCGAGGGGCTGGCGGGTTCCTCAGGCAGGGCGGCCCTAAAGGAAGACAAATCGACCACTTTACCGCACCCCGCGAACCAGTCATGCTGGCGCGGGGACGGACGATGGGGAGGCAGGGGAGGAGAGGAAGGGCAGGGAGGGTAAGGCAGCCAGGGGAAGTGAGTGGGGAGGGGCACGGCAGGGCAATGCCGCCACCCAAGCGCGTCGGCCTCGACGAGGTGAATGGCCTCGCTCCCCAGAGCCCTCGCAAGCACGCACCTGGCGCCCCCCGGAAAGCTCTCGCGAGAAGCAGCTTGGCTCCTGGGAGGGGGGGGTTCAACCGGCGTCCTGTCCGCTTTCAGCATTCCCTGCGTCCCCGGAGCTGTCCACGGCGCGGCGGCCGCGCAGGCGGGCGAGGCGTCCAGGTGGCAGCGCAGCGAGTAGGGGTTGGCCCAGTCGTGGTGGACGAGGTGGTACAGCTCGTTTCGGCGCTGCTGATCAGCGGCGTGGTGCTCAACTCCGTCGGCGTCATGCTGGGTCGAGGCGTCACGTCGGGCGTCGGGCTGGGGTGGAGCGTCGGATAGAGCGACGGGTTGGGGAACGGCGTTGCCCTCCTGCACCAGGGCCCCGTCGAAGAGGTAGGCCATCGGCGGCGGGATGGGGGAGGGCGTCGGGCTGGGGCGAGGCGCCATGTAGGGCGTCGTGCTGTGGTGCATCGTCGAGTAGGGCGTCGTGCTGGGGCTGGGTGTCGGGTAGGGCGTCGGGCTGGGGTGGGGCGTCGGGTGCGGCGACGCGCTGGACCAGGGCGTCGGGTACGGCGGCGGGCTGGGAAGCGGCGTCGGGTAGGGCATCTGGCTGGGGTAGGGCGTCGGGCTGGGATGTGTCGTCGAAAAGAGCGCCGTGCTTGGGTGGGGCATCGTGTATGGCGTCGTGTTATGGCAGGGCGTCGGGCTAGGGTGGGGCGACGGGCTGGGATGTGTCGTCGGGAAGGGTGTCGTGCTCGGGTGGGGCGTCGGGTATGGCGTCGTGATAGGGCAGGGCGTCGGGTGAGGCGTCGGGCTGGGATTGGGCGTCGAGTAAAGCGCCAGGATGGGGTAGGGCGTTGGTCGGGCACGGGCGTCGGCGTCGTGAGGGTGTCGGTCGTCTGGCGGCCGAGGACGCACAGGTGTCTTGGGTTGTGGGGGTCGGCGGGGGAGCAGGCAAGCAGGCAAGCAGCTAGACGAGTGGCGCGGAGAGCAAGGGGAGCGGAGAGTCTGCTCAGCGCATTCGGGGGGCGAGGGGGCTGAAGGCAGAGAGTGGAGCGCCGCACCGCCCACGGCCGCGCTTGCCTGACGGCGGCAGAGAGGAAGCGCTGGAGGCGGCAGACGTGACATCTGCGCTCCAGACCCTCAAGCCGCCCTTCCAGTGGGCGCCAGCGTTTGCCCGAGAGCCTTGTTGTCCTCTTTGCTTTGCCGCGCGTTTGTACCCGAAGGCTCTCCAGCGCCGACCCACGCGCAACCATGGCGAGCGCAGGGCAGGGGCACGCCCCAAGAGAGCGGGGTGCTTTCGACCAAGCTGGCTCAAGCCAAGCCAAGCCAAGCCAAGCCAGGCCAAGCCACGCCTAGCGGCCGGCGCGCGCGCGGGGCGCGCGCGGGGCGCAGACACGGCGCCCTCCAGGGGGCCACGGGGCCCGCGGGCCGACGCTCGGAGCATGGGAAGTGCTCCGGGCGAAGGGGGGCGCCCGCCGGACCCAGGCCCGCCACCAGGCCTCTGGACGCCGGCTGCGCGAAGGAGACGAGCGCAGGGAGGCGGGAGGCGAAGGGCGAGCCCGCCGAGACCTCGTCACCACGCCGGGCGCGGAGCGAGAATCTCGGTCAGGAGAGGGGCCTTCCAGGCCGCGAGCTGACAAAGACAACCACGACCAAGACAACGACCGAGCGCTCAACGACACGACTAGCCCCCGACCCCCTCCGCTCGAACCCCTTCCGCCACCTGGCTTAAGGCGAGCAAAGCCTCACACCTGCCCCGCCGCCCGAAGACACGGACAGCCGACCCAGACTCGCAGACCGACCGGTCGACTTTCAGACGCTAAGACTCCTTAACGCTGGGTATTCGCCTTCGCCCACTCGGTGCGCCACGAGGAACCACCGTCGTTCCAGACGCCGCGCCGAGAAGAGGGAGCGAGCGAACAGAGAGGCACACGCCTACCACGAACATGCCGAGACCATGCGGCAGCAGGAAGCTTTCTCCAGGCGGCAGACCTACCTCGAGGACCAGTTCAACCTGGGGCGGCACGCGACGCGGGGCAGCGCAAAGACCGAAGAGCGAACCACCACGCAGCCCGACTACCAAGCTCACAACACCGACCACGACTCACCCACAGCAAGCACGCGAGGCTGCATCCAAAAGCTCCTGCACGCGCTTCTCGGACCCAACACGAGACCGGACAACACAAACGAGGGCGCCTCGGCCGTCACGATGCAGGCCGGGGTGGGGGCGCTGGAGACAGACAGCCCGACCCTGCAGCCGGGCGCGCGCCAACGCGCCCGCCAGCGGAACAGGAACGCTGCCGAGCCAACGCCAGCAAGGGGACCGCAGAGCGTCGCCAACACGAGGATGCCACTGCCGTCCAGTGGCAGCCCACGATGCTATTACCACGTCCTGCCCGCGCTGGGCCGACAAGGGCAACGCAGAACTGCAGCTACTGCCAATGCACGCATGACAAAAACTGTTGCGAAATTGACCGGGCTAGCTGCCGTGCTACAGTCCGGATTGCTTTACACGACAGGCAGGCACAGGGGCCCGACCGACTTACCAACTATGCAATTCTACTGCTCCCTCCCGCCACCCCTGCTCACACCGGCAGCCCCGCAGCTCCCAGAAACGGAGGCCACCGCTTCTACCTGGCGCACAAGGGCAAAGAGGGCCAGCCCTCGCACCAGAGCCGCGCGCAGACGGGCGGCCGCAGCAGGAGAAGCAGCAGAAAGCACCTTGCACCAGCAGAGCGACCACCGTGACCACCAACACCACGCGCAGCAACACCAGCGCGACGAGGAACACCGCAGCGGCAACAACGCCCACGACCGCGACCAGCACCACGCGCAAGAACACCAGCGCACAGCACAAGGCAGCGACCAAGACCACTACGACCTGCACCACCACGAGCAGCAGCACCAGCGCAACCCCTCCAAAAGCCGCCGCGACGCGCGATGGGGTCACCGAGGCGTTCGAGTGGGCGAGGCCAGCCACCCAGGACCTCCAGACGCATCCGGAGACAGCCCCCGAACACCGCGCCCGAGACACACGACGTCACCACCAGAGTCGCCAGAGCACGCACCCGGCGGCGCGGCGCCAATCCCGTCGCAGGAAGAGACCCCGCCACGGGCTCTGCTCCGTCTACAAGCCGCAGGGTTTCAGCTTGGCGCGCAAGCCGTGCCGGACCACTTTGGCGCCATCTTCGGGAGGGCGCCAGAAGGCGGATGGAACTTTGCGGGCCTATTCGCCCCGCGCGGCGACAGGCAGGGCGAGGCAGCAGAAGCGGCAGCAACAGCGCGGGAGGAGCCGGACCGACCACCAGCGCCGACGGAAGATGCCAACATCTGCGTCGTCTGCCAGGAGGCGACCCCTTGCCATGGGGCGGGCAGGGACACACCAGCACAGGAGGCATGCTGTGGCGCCCACTTCCACTTGGGCTGCCGAGCCGACTTGGCCCGCCACCTCGGCGAAGCCACCACATGCCCGCAGCGCCGAGCCCGACTTCTGACCACCGCCGAGGTTACGGGCATGGTGCGCCGCGCAGGGCGTGGACATAGACCGACCGCCGCCCCCGGCCCACGACACCAGCGCCCAGGCCGTCCCAGATTACAATGGGCTTCGGAGCTACGCGCGAAGCGAAGAACCACCACCACGGGAGCCACCGCTGCTCCGAGCGCTCTGCTGCCGACGTCTCGGCCCCCCGCCCGAATTCTCCGAAGTGCCAGACCGCCGCGCGGAATGGTCCCCGGAGATAGCTGCACGAGACACCAACGGGAGGATCACGCAGTGGCTAGAGTCATGGCTTTGCCCACGCTGCGGGGCGCGCTGCGCTGTCGACACGATCGCGCCACAGGGCGGCCGACAGATGCGCGCGAGGTGCCTAGAGCCGGGCACGTGGGCCGCGGAAGCCAGCACGGCTGAAGGCGAATGGAGGTGCGCTCTGTGCGAACCAGACGCATGGACCAGAAAAGCAACGCCTTCTGCCTCACCACCAGCCCCGCCAGGGCCAGGGCCACCACCACCAGCCCCCCCACCAGGGCCAGAGCGAGCCGCCGCGAGGCCGCCACAACACAGCCCTTTCGCCGGCTGGGCCCCACCGCAAGCGCCCCTCCAGGCACGCACCAACTCGGCAGTGCACGCGCCCCTGCTGCTAGCGGCCGCCGGGCTCATAGACCCAAGCGAAGGGGCGCAGTGGAGTGAGCACCGCCTCACACAGGCCTGGTGGCAGCCGACGGTAGAGACGTTGCGGCTTGCAGGACCTGTGCTAACACGGCCCTTTGTCCAAATGCTGGCGTACACCGACGCCCGGCCCAGGGAAGTACCAGCGGTGCTTGCTGCAGACGGAGGAGAGCGCCCAGGGCACGTATCCTTTGCGCCAGTCGTCCAGGCCGTGGCGCACAGCAGCACCGGCTACACACAGCCGCTGGTGCAAGACCTCCTCCTCGAAGCATTCGGCGGCGGCGCGCTTGCACGAGGAGTTGACGCACGCACAAACGAGCTGCGCAACCCAGCTCTCTGGGCAGATGCGGCGCCCCCGCCGCCGCTCCCACCGCCAGAGGCGCCCCAGGGGCCGGAGCTGCCTGGAGACCAGCACGCGAACGGCCCTGCCGCCGTGGCGGGGAGAGGCGCCCCCGGAGACAGAAGCGGAAGAGGCGCCAGAGAAAGCAGACGAAGAAGAGGCGCCAGAAGAGGCCGAGGCGGCGGAGGAGGGGGGGGAGGAAGCCCGAGCAGCGGCAACAACGGCGGAAACACGGGCGCGGAGGAGGGAGACGCCAACGACGGCGACAGCAACTCCAGCGAGAGCAACTCCAGCACCGAGGAGACCGACCACGAGGCCGGACCAGCGCAGGCCCCAGCCCCGAGCAACGGACCCACCGAAGAGTCCTGGGCAGCTCTCGGGAGCATCGACCTCCAACAAGAGCTACGGAAATTCGTGCCGACACTACAGAACGTGCCGCGTTTCCTGCGCGCGGAGACCCGGATGGCGTTCACCACGGCCCTGAAGAGGATCAAACGAGGACACGACCAGGGCAACCAAGCAACAACCCGCCAAGGATGGACACTGTTCCTCCTCGCCTCGAGGCTCCTGCTAAGCAAGCCCAAGGGTACCGACGCCGAGGGCCGACAAGAGCTCTTGGAACGCGCCCAACGGTTCCGCCAGGGCGACTGGCTGGCCCTGCTACACGAGGCCAACACCACGACCGGCGCGCGCGCAGCGCCGAGGCCAGTCACAGAGGAACAACAGCAGGAGAGACGCAGAGAACAGGCTTGCGCGCACGTCCGAAACGGCAACCCGTCACGGGGGAGACAGGTCTTGACCGCGGCGGCGATTGCGCCCGGCAACGGGGAGACACTAAACAGGCTGCGGGACCCGGCCCGCCGACCGCCTACCCTGAGCCGCCGACTACCCGCCAACCTAGACCGCGCAACCGACAGAGCGAGACTCGACAAGACCAAATTCCTCGCTTGCCTCCGGTCCGCCAAAAATGGCACGGCAGCAGGACCGTCGGGAGTCCGCGTTGAGCACCTCAAGCCGCTGCTGGAACACGAAGAGCCCATGGACCTGCTCGGATTCGCCGCCGCTGCCCTCGCGGAGGCGCGGAGGCCCTCCCCGATTGCCCGCGCTCTGGCCCTCTGCAAGATGACGGCACTCCAGAAACCAGACAACGGAGTACGGGGCATCGCCACCGGCGACGTTTTCCGCCGACTGGTCACCAGGGCGCTCGCTCAACAGTTCACCGAGCAGCTCGCGGCCGCAACTGCGCCCTTCCAGTTCGCCCTGACGACGCGGGCAGGAACTGACTGCGCCGCCATGCTGCTCAGGTCAGTGCTGGACCACGACGACGACGCAGTGATTGTCAGCATCGATGGAGTCGGGGCTTTCGACCATGTGTCGAGGTCGGCCTTCTTCCAGGAGCTCCTTGCTCGCCCAGAGCTGGCCGGCTTAATCCCATTCGTGAAGATGTGGTACGGGCAAGACTCCACCTACCTCTGGCAAGACGAAATGGGGACTGTGCACGACGTGCACCAGGGAGAGGGAGTGGAGCAGGGGGACGCGCTGGCCCCAGCCCTCTTCGCTCTTGCCCTGCACGGAGCGCTGGCGGGCGCCTCCAGGACCCTCGAGCAAGGGGACTTCCTGGTCGCTTTCTTGGACGACGTGTACATCAAGACCACCCGGGCCAGGGCCAGAGCCGCTTTCGACACCACCACCGGAGCAATTCACCTCCACGCAAACGTGGATTGCCACCTTGGCATGTGCCTGGCTCCCAGCAGGGGCGGAGGCGCAGCGCCGCCTGGAATCGGCGAGCTGGGACAAGACGTCTGGAGGGGCGACAGAGTGCCACCCGACCGAGGAATCAAGATCCTAGGCACCCCCCTAGGCACCCCAGAATTCGTCGCCGCACACCTGGAGAGCAGATTACAGGAAGAGAGGAGACTCCTGGACGAACTGGCGCACCTGCCCGACCTACAGTGCGCTTGGCTCCTCCTCCTCCTCTGCGCCTCCCCGCGGGCCAACCACCTGCTGCGAACTCTGCCGCCAGAGGAAATCGCAGAATACGCGAGAGGCCACGACGGCGACATGTGGACCACCCTGCGCCGCCTCCTCGGGGACCCCGCAATGTCGCAAGACGAAGAGCGACGGGCGCGCGCACTGGCAGCAATGCCTGGACGACACGGAGGACTCGGGCTCCAAAGCGCCGCGCGCACGTCCCCAGCGGCCTACTGGGGCGCTTGGGCAGACGCCCTACACATGCTCCACCAACGGCGCCCTGTTGAAGCTGCAGCGATCAGGGACCTCCTCGACGGCACCAGGCCCGGGCGTAGGGGCAACCTTGCCGCAGCCGCCGCGGCCGCACAGCTGCTCGAATCCGAAGGCTTCCGGAGACCTTCCTGGACCGACCTGCTCCAGGGGCTGCGCCCAGAAGCGCCACCGCGCTCGGAGGCCGCCGAACCGGGGGAATGGCAGCACGGCTGGCAGTTCCACGCTTGTTCCGCACGCAACACCCACTACAGGGACAACGTGTTCATGCCCAGCCTCACCAGGGCCAACCAGGCCATGCTAAGGTCAGGCCCAGGACCGAGGGCCGCCTACTGGCTTCACACCTTACCCACCACCGAGGGGCACGAGTTCAAGCCCGCGCGGTTCCTGGCAGCCTTGCGCCGGCGCCTCAGGCTCCCGCTGCCGCTCCTCCCGCACACGTGCGGGGCAGCCGGCCACCCAGGCTGCCGGGCCCGGCTGGACACGCTGGGAGACCACCTAGCCGCGTGCCCACGCACCGGGCTTCTCGCCAGACGCGCGAAACCGCTCGAACGAGCTTGGGCGAGGGTCGCCAGAGAAGCAGGAGGGAGAATTGTCCCCCAACAGCTGCTGCGGGACACTAACGCCGTTGTCCACAACCCGCTGGACCGCAGACAATTAGACCTAGTCGTCTACGGCATCTCGCCGAACGGCGTCCCGCTGTGCTACGACAGCACCATGGTGTCCCCCCTCCGCAGGGGCGGCTGGCACCGGCCGCGCACCTTCGACACCGACGACGCCGCGCTACTTGTGGCCGAAAGGCGCAAACGACGCAGGTACCACGAACTCACGACCGGCCATTCAGGCCGCCTCATTGTCCTCTCCTGCGAGGTCGGAGGCAGGTGGGGCCGCGACTCCCTCCAGCTGGTACGCCTGCTTGCCAAGCAGAAGGCGCGGGCCGCACCGGCCCTCCTCCGCCGCTCCGCGGAGCTCGCGTGCACCAACCGCTGGTGGGGGTTCCTGAGCGTCGCGGCCCAGGACGCGCTCATGGCCACCCTGACGGGCGACGGCTACCTAGCCCTGGAGGGAGCCGCCGGGGAGGACGACCCAGACCTGGCCGAAGTGCTGCTCGCAGACTCCGCCAGCCCACCCGCTAACCGCCTGCCAGCGCGCCCCTGATGCTTGGCACCGCGGCCAGCACGGCCGCCCCGGGGGGCTCCGACGAGCGCCGGGAGCACCCCCGACACGGCAGCGGGCACCACGAGGAGACCAGCAGTACCACCACCACCACCACCACCACAACGGCGACCAGCAGCACCACCGCTTCGACTGCGACCCGCAGCAGAACCACCACCAACAACACCACCACCACGAGAGCGACCCGCAGCACCACCACGACCACGACCAGGAGCACCACGACTGTGACCAGCAGCACCACGACTGCGACCAGCAGCAGCAGCACCACCACGACTACGACCAGCAGCACCACCACCACCACCACGACCAGCAGCACCACCAGCACAAGCAGCACCACCACGACTGCGACCAGCAGCACCACCACGACTACGACCAGCACCACCACGACTGCAACCAGCAGCAGCACCACAACGACCAGCAGCACCACCACCACGACCAGTAGCACCACCAGCACCACCACGACGGCGACCAGCAGCCCCACGACTGCGACCAGCAGCGCCACGACTGCGACCAGCAGCAGCCACGACTGCGACCAGCAGCACCACCACCACGACTGCGACCAGCAGCACCACCACCACGACCGACCCGCACACCACGACGACACGACCACGACCACAGCACCACGACAGCGACCAGCAACACCACGACTGCAACCGGGAGCAGCAGCACCGAGACAGCGACCAGCAGCACCACCACGACCAGCACCACCAGCACAACCAGCACTACCACGACTGCGACCAGCAGCACCACCACCACTACGACCAGCACCACCACGACAACGACCAGCACCACGACTGCGACCAGCAGCACGACGACTGCGACCAGCAGCAGCACCACCACGACTACGACCAGCAGCACCACCACCACCACCACGACCAGCAGCACCACCAGCACCACTAGCACAAGCAGCACCACCACGACTGCGACCAGCAGCACCACCACGACTACGACCAGCACCGCCACGACTGCAACCAGCAGCAGCACCACAACGACCAGCAGCACCACCACCACGACCAGCAGCACCACCAGCACCACCACGACGGCGACCAGCAGCCCCACGACTGCGACCAGCAGCGCCACGACTGCGACCAGCAGCACCACGACTGCGACCAGAAGCAGCACCACCACGACTGCGACCAGCAGCACCACCACCACGACAGCGACCCGCAGCACCACCACGACCACGACCACGACCAGCAGCACCACGACCACCACGACCAGCAGCACCACCAGCACCACTAGCACAAGCAGCACCACCACGACTGCGACCAGCAGCACCACCACGACTACGACCAGCACCACCACGACTGCAACCAGCAGCAGCACCACAACGACCAGCAGCACCACCACCACGACCAGAGCACCACCAGCACCACCACGACGGCGACCAGCAGCCCCACGACCGCGACCAGCAGCGCCACGACTGCGACCAGCAGCACCACGACTGCGACCAGCAGCAGCACCACCACGACTGCGACCAGCAGCACCACCACCACGACAGCGACCCGCAGCACCACCACGACCACGACCAGGAGCACCACGACTGCGACCAGCAGCACGACGACTGCGACCAGCAGCACCACCACGACTACGACCAGCAGCACACCACCACCGCGACCAGCAGCACCACCAGCACCACTAGCACAAGCAGCACCACCACGACTGCGACCAGCAGCACCACCACGACTACGACCAGCACCACCACGACTGCAACCAGCAGCAGCACCACAACGACCAGCAGCACCACCACCACGACCAGTAGCACCACCAGCACCACCACGACGGCGACCAGCAACCCCACGACTGCGACGAGCAGCGCCACGACTGCGACCAGCAGCACCACGACTGCGACCAGCAGCAGCACCACCACGACTGCGACCAGCAGCACCACCACCAGGACGGCGACCCGCAGCACCACCACGACCACGACCACGACCAGCAGCACCACGACAGCGACCAGCAGCACCACGACTGCAACCGGGAGCAGCAGCACCGAGACTGCGACCAGCAGCACAGCCACGACCAGCATCACCAGCACTACCACTACCTCGACTGCGACCAGCAGCACCACCACCACTACGACCAGCACCACCACGACTGCGACCAGCAGCAGCACCACAGAGACCAGCAGCACCACCACGACCAGCAGCACAACCAGCACCAACACGACGGCGACCAGCAGCCCCACGACTGTGACCAACAGCGCCACGACTGCGACCCGCAGCACCACGACAGCGACCAGCAGCAGCACCACCACGACAACGACCAGCAGTACCACCACCACGACCGCGACCCGCAGCACCACCACGACCACGACCAGCAGCACCACGACTGCGACCAGCAGCGCCACGACCGCAACCGGGAGCAGCAGCACCGAGACAGCGACCAGCAGCACCACGACCAGCATCACCAGCACAACCATCAATACCACGACTGCGACCAGCAGCACCACCACGACTACAACCAGCACCACCACGACTGCGACCAGCAGCAGCACCACCACGTCCAGCACCAGCACCACCTTGACCGCGACCAGCAGCACCACCACGACTGCTACCAGCAGCACTACGACTTCCACCAGCAACACCACGACCACGACCAGCAGCAGCACCACCACGACTGCCACCAGCAGCTCCACCACCACGACCAACAGCACCACCAGCACCACCAGCACAAATAGCACCACCACGACGGCGACCAGCACCACCACCACTACTACGACTAGCACCACCACGACAAGCAGCACCACCACAACCGCGATCAGCAGCACCAACACGACTGCGACCAGCAGCACCACGACTGCGACCAGCAGCGCCACGACTGCGACCAGCCGCAGAACCACTACCAGCACCACCACCACGACTGCAACCCGCAGCACCACCACGACTGCGACAAGCAGCACCAAAACTGCAACCAGCACCACCACGACTGCGACCAGCAGCAGCACCACCACGACTGCGACCAGCAGCAGCAGCACCACCACCACCACCAAGACCAGCACCACCAGCACAACCAGCACAACCACGACCCTGCGACCACCAACACCACCACGACTGCACTCGCAGCACCACGACTGCGACCAGCAGCAGCACTACCACGACGGCAACAAGCAGCAGCACCACCAACACGACCACGACCAGCAGCAGCACCACCACGACTGCGACCAGCACCAATTCCGACCAGCAACACGACCCCCAGTAACGACGGGCACCACCTGCAACGACCAGCAGCAACGACGCGCACCTGCACGACGACGCGCACCGACGACGCCCACCGCCCCTTCCCCTCGCCTTTCCCTCGGCCTCTGTCCCCTCGTCTCGGTCCCGTCTCGTTCGCCCCCTGCTCCCGCGTCGTTCGCCCCTCGCCGTTCGGGCCCGGCTCGTGCCCCTCGCCCCCTCGTCCTCCGCCCCCCGCCCGCCCCACCCCCGCCTGGAGTCCAGACCCAGCCGCGCCTGCGAGAAAAGGGAGCAGCGGCAGCAGGCTATGGCGCTGCTGATTCCCAAACTGGAGCCCAACGTCATCAGTTGCATCGCTGGGGCCAGCGCACGTGCGAAAAATGGGCAGCAGCAGCAGCAGCAGCAGCAGCAGCAGCAGCAGCAGCAGCAGCAGCAGTGGCAGCGAGCCAGAAAGGAGAGCGAGGCGGAAAAGGAGGAGATAGAAGAGGAAGAGAAGGCAGCGGACGAGCAGGACCAGGTCGAGGAGGAGGAAGAGGCGAAGATAAGCGCGGTGGACGTCAGTGGGCAGTGGCAGCGAGCCAGGGAGTCAGGACGTGGAGGAGGAAGAGGAGGAAGATGGGAGGTGATGGTGGAGCCAAGCGTCATCAGCTACAGCTCTGGGATCAGCGCGTGCGCGGAAGGCGAGCAGTGGCAGCGGGCTCTCTCGCTGCCCAGCGAAATGCGGGAGGCGAAGGTGGAGCCAAGTGACATCAGCTATAGCTCTGGGATCAGCACCTGCGCAAAAGACGAGCAGTGGCAGCGGGCTCTATCACTGCTCAGCGGGATGTGGGTGAGGTTGGAGCCAAATGACACCAGATACAGCCATGGGATCAGCGCGTGTGCGAAAGGCAAACAGTGGCAGCAGGCCCCGCCACTGCCCAGCGAGATGCGGGACGCGAAGGTGGAGCCAAGCGTCATCAGCTACAGCTCTGGGATCAGCGCGTGCGCGAAAGGCGAGCAGTGGCAGCGGGCTCGATCGCTGCTCTGCGAGATTGGGGAAGTGAGGTTGGAGTCAGATGCCATAAGCTACCACTCTGGGATCAGCCCTGGGATCAGCGCGTGTACGAACGGCAAGCAGTGGCAGCGGGCTCAATCGCTGCTCTGCGAGATTTGGGAGGCGAAAGCGGAGCCAAGTGTCATCAGCTACAGCTCCGGGATCAGCGCGTGCACGAAAGGCGAGCAGTGGCAGCAGGCTCTATCGCTGCTCTGCGAGATTTGGGAAGTGAGGTTGGAGCCACAGGCCATCAGCTACAACTCTGGGATCAGCGCGTGCGCGAACGGCGAGCAGTGGCAGCAGGCTCTCCCACTGCTCAGCGAGATGCGGGAGGCGAGGGTGGAAGCTCTGGATTCCGCGCATGCGCGGGAGGCAAGCAGTGGCAGCGGGCTCTCTCGCTGCCCAGCGAGATGCGGGAGGCGAAGGTGGAGCCAGATGCCATCAGCTATTGCTCTGGGATCAGCGCGTGCGCGAAAGACGAGCAGCGGCAGCGGGCTCTATCTATCACTGCTCAGCGGGATGTGGGAAGTGAGATCGGGGCCGACTGTCCTCAGCTGCAGCTCCGGGATTAGCGCGTGCGCGAAAGGCGAGCAGTGGCAGCGGGCTCGATCGCTGTTCTGCGAGATGTGGGAAGTGAGGTCGGAGCCGGATGCCACCAGCGAAAGCTCTGGGATCAGCGCGTGCGCGAAAGACAAGCAGTGGAAGCGGGCTCTATCTCTGCTCAGCGGGAAGTGGAAAGTGAAATCTGAGCCGATTGTCCTCAGCTACGACTC